AACTCCCTCCAGACAGCAACAAGGCAGAAAGATTACAGAAAAGGTTTTATTCTTTATTCTGTATAACTCTGATCACAGAATAACTATCTGGCATTTACAAACTTGGTCTGTGTCAACAATCACTTAAGTAAGCTGGTGGGCAGCAGAGTAAAGCCTTGTTTTCCCATCCAAGTGGGCGTTCCAATGAGGATGTGACATCACATGAAAGCTATAAATTATGGCTTGGCAAAAGTGACATCAAATTCATTAAAAAATCATTTGAAATGGACTAGAAAATGCATTGCATTCTATAGTGCTTTCATATCAAAGCACCTCTCCTTCTCACATATCCATGGCAGCAAAGGTGCCATTGTGGGGGCAATTGAGGTTTAGTGTCTTGCTCAAGGACACTTCAACACCTGGATAGGAGATGGGGAAATAAAATCATCAACCATGTGTTTCATAGACAACCCGCTCTAACTGTGTTTCTAATAACACTTGCCAACTGAAAGTTTAAGCTTGACTAATCTAGCTAAGCCAACTAGCATGCTGCCGCTAATAGACAACAACTGGTGCACTGCCAAAACATTCCAGGTAAAACTTGTGCGCTAGAATTTATGTTCTAGGGTGTAAGTAGTCGACATATATAGGCTATTTTGATAGTAATTGTTTGGGTCACAGGGAGTGCTGAACGTCCTGTACCGAGCGGTTTGGGAGGAACAAGCATACCGTTGCTCTAGTCAGTTGTATCAGCCCCTATCAGTTATAGATAATGACTTATATTTTCCCATTTATTGAACAAAAGTATAGGTACATTAAAATAAGGGCAAATTAAATTTAAAAAAACTGAAACTCTGTAACTATATGGATTGAAACCGTCAAAGGACAGGCCAAGCTGTATGAGAAACAGATTCTGGGGAGCACCAGACACATGGGAGGAGAACCAAAATGACCCAGCCCTGTTTAACAAGGCCACACAGACACAAAGAGCAGGGAAACTACCTCATTCAAAAGAGAGCTACTGATAGAGAATGACAGACACTGGGGTAGGTCCAGCTCCAAGTGTGGGATCTAAACCCCTTAAACATGATATAACTGGTTACCTAATATTAGGAGCAATTACACAGGATGTTTTTTTTTTTTTTTTCACCTCTGATGAGTGAAAGAAGTCACAATATTGAGCATAAAGCCAGTTTAGTATGAGCATGCTAGTTTGAATGCAAAATGCTTTGGCACCAGATCCTGAGAAAACCAGACTTGTGTGGAGCAAAGTGCAGACTCATGTTTCCAACTTTAGCTGTGGTCACAAAGTTCAGTCACACCCTCATAGTCACTGCTCATCACACTGCACTCACAAGGCCTTGTCTTAATGTCTGAGACAATGAGGGTGGGTGTGAGCCTGAGGAGACATGAGATTATTTTAAATGGAAACACTACAATTCCCCACCAGCAGAAGGAAAACCTAATTAAACAGTGTGACAGCACAGTGAGGGCCACACCTGCATGTGTGGTTCGTGTTAACCACGCCACGCCCTCCTCAGCTGTTCAACAGGCAGGCAAGAGGATAATGCATGGCAGAGAGAAACTACCAGTCATGTATTATTAGATAGAAGTGCTAAATGAAACGAATTATGGGAAGTGGTTGTCACAGCTTCATCTATTGATGCTGAAGGAACTATTAAAATTAGTTTGAAGCATGGCGCTGGTTTTCTTATACAACTGATGCTAAGCCATCATTTCCTGTTGGGAGTGATAAAAGCCACAATTACATTTCCTTGGATAGGTTATTATTATACCAAAATGACCCCAGTTGCACTGTCAAACTTGTATGAAGTAATTAGTCACCAAATGTCAAGACTCACTAGTGTATAGGATGTAAGACAGGCCAAATAGTAAGAACAAAGCAAGACACTGAAAATCTTTTCTCTTCTTGATGTATTTTTTTGTTTTTGGCAATGTCCCACAAGCCCCTAGATGATCAATCACAAGATTAATTCCTCCTGAAAGATTCCTAAAGGCCTTATTGATAGGTCTATGAGCTTTGATTGAGGAGTCAACCCACAATTAAGATTATTATGAACAATATGCCTGAAATCTCCCAAAAAAGAAAAATGAGCGAGGCTGCTGGCTCTCTGAGACTGTACACAGTGGTGCTTTAAGGAAAACACCAAGAGGACAATGCAAACATGCTACTACCAGGTATATTGTTTACCATGTTCACCATTTTATTTTAGTGTGATAGCATGCCAACATATGGAAATTACCATTAAGTACATCTGAGGCTGATGGTCATTAGTTTGGAAGGTAGTCAAAGTATTGGACATTTTAAAATCACCAAAGTTATCACAGATTATCCTGGGAATCAGGACTTGAATGTCTGTAACAAATTTCATTGCAATCCACTCAATAGTTGTCAAGACATTCAAGTGAAAAGCAAAAATGTCAACCTAATGGTGCCACTGAAAGAAAATTCCCCTCTGGAGAACATAAATGTCTGTACAACATTTCACGGCATTCAATAGTCGCTGAAATACTTCAGTCTTGACCAAAGTGGCGGACCGAACTACATTTCAGTCTGTTGGAAAACAACAACCAAACAGTTCATATATATATATAGCTCACTGTGCTCTGTGTGTTGTTGTTTGTCATATAATTATATAGTAACAACATGACTTACATGGCCACAGAAATGCTTCTGGTCATGGTAACGTATTTGCTGTTCAGCATGTTACCATTCAAAGCCTTTGCACCTTTTTCCACTTTTCCACATTTACACTGAGCACACAGGTGATGTCAGTTAAAGTCTGTGACTCTCACTGCTTGGAGGGCAATTGATGGACTTTGAGACTGGACAAAAAAAGAATGGAAATGATAGATGAATAAACGCATATTCATAGAACAAAGATTTGATCATATGCGCACATGTAGACACACACACCAGCATTCAGACAGCACACAGTGTGCACATGCACAAACATCATCAGCAATTGTTAAATACACAGAGAGAGAGAGTGCATATGGAAAAACATAATGACACATCTCTCTTGTAATCTCTAATTGTATCCCTCTCAAGCACACACATATACACACATTTCTCCACCACCACATCACACACACAGAAGCCTGTAGTAACGACATGTGGTAGCTGTGTCTTCATCTTTGCCGTCAGCCTAACTGTAATCTTTGTAGTTTTCCACAGTCTCAACTTCCATCACTCACTCCCACACAAACCAGATCAGCCCACTCCTAACAGTTATAGTCACTATGGCGTTCAGCTCCAGCATGACTCAGAACAAAAACATAAAATATTTTCCGATTGAGAACGCTGAGCAGTAGCCCAGAAAAGACCCTTCATATTTATCTTGATAGCATCAATTGGCACGTCCAGGTTACTACAAAAAGGATGGATATGCAATGTATCTGCAATTTAAAATGTGAACGTTTAGTTTAAAATCCAGTCAGTAGTGTTTGCTGTTTGCATACATATTATGTCTCATGTCCATGTTACTAACTTAGCTTCTTCCACAGAGTTTTTATGCTTTCTCATCTCGCAGGTTCCCATGGATTGTGGTTGTGCCTGCTGTTGTAGTTCTGTTTGACGCCCACTGCTAATATTATTGTTATTATTATTATCATCATTATTATGGCTGTTATAATCCCTCTCATCATCATCATCATCATCATCCTTATTAGTCCTATTTATACAGTTATAGTTGTTATTGTTATTATTGCATCTCTGTCTCCCTGTAAACCCTCCTCATTCAACCCCCCCCCCTCTCTCTAACTGGTCGGGAGAGCCGGTGTCTGCTTGAGGCTTTTGCCTCTCAAAGGGAAGTTTTTCTTTGCCAAGGGCTGTTGGTTCTCTGTCAATAATTTGTTTAGAGTACAGTCCAGACCTGCTCAATTTGAAAAGTGTCCTGAGATACTGAAACTTCTCTTATGATTTGGCGCTATACAAATATTTGTATTTGTATCAATTATAATTGAATGGAATTGAATTGACACATTAGACAGAACTTAATGTCACCCATCTTTCAGCTCATTGTTTTGGTTTTAGGGCACGCAACTTTACTGTTTGTCATTTTTTGTCCTCTCTGGCATCAGCAGGCAGATGTTTATAGTGTAAAAACTCTAGTATACCCACTGTATGCCACATACATATGTATGTGGCATTCAGGAGCTGGTAGAGACCAAAAACAGATCTAAAAGAGAGTTACATTAATCAGGTGGCCAGAAACCATTGAACGTGTGAATGTTAATGTTTGCCACATCAACTTTAAAAGATGGTGCCATTGTTGTCTTTACAGCTTGTTATCCCCATTCAAAGTTAAGATTAGATAAGAGATCGCTGAAACACTAAATAAAGCAATTCCATTTACATTGAGCTATTTGTTTACACACCTTTCAGAATTTAGACATGATTATTGTTATAAATATATTATATCATAAATTATTACTTTGTGCTCATCTGGAACTATCTAAAAAATATCACTGTCCATATAACGTTTAAGTTTTGTGAGAATCTAGGTGTGCAGAGGATCAATCCTGCTGCCCTTTTAAATCAGAAGCTTTAAGTAAGAATGCTTCTTTCATCTTTAGAAAACCTTCAAGGTTTCTGTGATAAAAAAGCAGACTTGGACGTTGGTCAAGAACACTTTTATGAGAAAAAAGGCCTGTGACATCAGTTAAGTTGCCACCCATTTAAATGCAGGAGTTTGAAAGCACTGCAAGCACTTTGCACAATGCAACAACTGCATTGCCATTTGGAAAATACCTTTTGTAATTTTTGTCACCACCTAAATCAACCAAGCGGACATTGCTGTTGAAGATGCTTAAAGGATATGACAGGGATGTCCTGTGTTTTGTTTTCTATTTAAATCACATGCTGCACGACTGAGTCATGCTTAAGTTATCTGAAGAACTTTGTCTTCTAGGTTTTCCAAAACTTTATGAAAAGACTCACAGCATCATTCCTTCATTCCCAGAGGCTTAGATTAGACTGAACTGGTTGCCAAACTTACCCATTCTCTTGGTCAGTGACTGAAAGGTTAAGTGTTCCCAGGAGGGTTCATAGTTACAGCTTGTGGTTCTTGTCCTCTTCACTGCAAACCGTGTGTCTCTGTCCTCTCTTTCACTCACTCTAACTTTGTTTCTTTCTCGCTCTGTCTCCCGTCTTGGAGCCCAGCTGGGCCAACCACCACCAAAGCCTGCTGGAGTAGGACTGCTCAGAGTCTAAACGCGACTGGCCTTAAAGGTTTTTCTTGGGGAGAAAAAGCCCACATCCCACTGTCAGTCAAGCAGCGGAGCATAGTTTCAGCTGGGCCGCCGTCCAAACAGACATGAAACTATTCTATTTCGGTCTGCCATATGAGCAGTGGTGCTTTACAGAGGAGGGGGGGAAGAAAGATTCTGTGGTGGAGCATGTAATTGCAGAGTGACCAGTTATGGCGAGATGTAATTGCAGACCTCATCAGATGGAGAGAAACTGCCAACAAGACAAGGTAAAGGACTTTTAAATAAGACTTTCAAAAAAAAAGAAACAACACAGACCACATAAATAAATGAGGAGCTGGGTTCCAGATGTGGCAGCAAAGGGAGGGAGGGGAGGAGAAGAAAGAGTGGGAGGGACAGAAAAGAGGGCCAGATGAAGGAACTGCCATGGCAGCAGAATGAAATCCCATTTCTGACACGGTGAAAGGGTGTTTTCCTTCCCAGGAACAGTCGCACAGGACGGAAAGGGGGACTGGGGAAGGTGAGAGGATGTCGGGCAGGCCTTATGTTGTTTCTGGATCTTTACCATGAGTGCTATTTGGTGTCTGGTTTCACATCAGCCTTGGAAATGACTACCTTATGGAAAAATTTGGAGCTTTAAAAATGAGCAAGGAAAATGAAAATATAAACGGCAGTCGGCTGGTTCCCATTACAAGGAAGACTCCGCTGGTCTGGGTTGCGGCAGTTAATTTCGCTATGTATTCTTAAGTGAATAATTTCCATGTGATAATGTGAAGGGGCGGCTCCACACACTCTCTAAAATGCACATAAGGGCCTGTTACATTGTATAGTCAATAAATATTAGCTTTAGCTTAAATCTGAATGTAAACAGCTAATTTCCTCAAAAATGTTACTTAATTTCCTGGCAAATGCAACAGCGGAGTGATCATCAAAGCACATTTAAAGGCGCATTGCTATGTGTGAAGGTAATTCTTAGCGAGACCCCATTATTTAAAGGAACTATTTTGGAAAACTTTTATTTGCTTTCTTGAGGTGAGAAGTTTGATACAACTCTCGTCTGTATGCTAAAAAGCTGAAGCCAGTAGACAGTAAGCTTAGCTTAGCATAAAGATTGGAAGCAGGTGGAAACGACAAGCCCAGATCTGGTAAAAGGTACAGAAAAAAATTAGCACCTCTGAAGCTTGCTAATTAATATTTAATATTTATTTAAATCCATAGGCAGAATTAAAACATTTTTGGACAGAGCCAGGCTAGCTGTTTCCCCCTTATGCTAAGCTGAGCTAACCACCTGCTGGTTCTGGCAGCATGTTAACAATCTGAGCCTCTCAGTAGAAAAAAACAAGAACATTTAATGGACATAATTTGACGGTGTGCAATTGCCTGCAAGGATTACATTTTATCCTCTTACGCAGCTGCAGGCTGCAGTTCTCTCAGGCAATGCTGGACCAAATTCAAAAGATATTGTCCCTAAGTAGTAACTTTGACACAGATAGCCTTTAAGTGTTTAGAATTTAAGTTAATAAGGATGATAATTGAAAAAATTGGCAATGTTTGTTCAATATTCCTTTTTTCAGCTGCCTTTAACAAACACCATTTCCCATAAGTCCTATACAACTGCTAGTTAAATGTCAAAATCCAACATAAAAGGTAAGTCAAAAGGCTACTGAACACTGTAGATAGATAGATAGATAGATAGATAGATAGATAGATAGATAGATAGATAGATACTTTATTGTCCTTCACAGGAACTTTCAGCTTTCAGACATACGTACATAGATACAAGATACATAGGGGCACCACGACATAACAACAAGAATACACACTTAATCCAGCACATTTAGCACATTTAACCCTCCCTGTCCTGTGCGTAGCCCCCACCCACGGTGGTTACCGGAATGCCTTGTTTAGGGATGCTATGGCAGAAGATACAAAACTCCTGCCATAGCGAGCACGTTTAGAGGCCAGAGTCCTGTATCTGCGTTGAGATGGTAGCAGTACGAATGATGAGTTGAGAGGGTGGCTGGGGTCGTGTGCTATACTGAGTGATCTGCGTGTAATGGCTGTATTGTTGAGGTAGAAGCTTTTAGATAGTAGAGATTACAACAAGAGAGTTGGAAAAAATTATTTGGAGATAGAAAGTATGATGATTTAAGTTACTGCACTGCTGTGCTTGTGCTCACAAAAGAATCATGTAACTTTGTTAAAATTACGAAGGTTTCAATTTCTGCTGTAGTGGATGGTGATTTATCTTAGAATATTACAAGTATAAGCCCAAAAACATGCTGAATTTTTTCATAAATACGGATTAAAGAAATGCTGAATGCAAAAACACAGCTAGCCCAGACGTGATATCAGTACTTAGGCTCTTTAGTTCCAAAACTGTGGAACTATTCCTGTAAAGGATCTATTGACAGAAATGGTATGTAATATTTATTGGTATGTTTTCATTATTGTATAATCACCTGAAAATGAGAGCTGTTGTGTTTTGGTCTCTGCCTTTCTTCCCTTAGCTGTTTTTTTCCGAGGGAGTGGGTCCTCTCCTGCAGAGTCCGCCATGTTGAACTGCCATGAGTTTCTTGGCCACCATAGTTTCTCCTACAGGCTTGGAAGGTTGGGCAGCACTCAAATGGTTGCAATCTGCAACTTCACCACTAGATGCCACTAAATCCAACACACTGGTCCTTTAAAACATTAAAAAAAGCATTTACCAAAGGTTCAGGTTTTGATATTGGTTTTGTGGTGTAGGTTTCTCGGAACTGGACTAGCGGCACGTCTTTTCTCTGTAGATGGGGGCTTGCTTCTTGGTTTCTCTTAGACGAACCATCTAATTTCCAACTGGAAGGGCCCCATTCAAAGCAGCTGTGTATCATTAGGACTGCTATTCTCATTGGCATAGTGGGCTTGTTAGATTACTGCTGAGAAAGAAGCTTAAAACCAAACCGACCCACGAATCAGTCCTCAACCTCCCGTCTCCCTCAATTATCAGAATATAGAGAAGGGGTTTCATTTTTTCCTCCTAAGTCAGGAAAAGTTTCCATGTGGATTCTTGCATGGCTCTGACTTCAGCGCTGATTTTCTCCAGTCCGACAGACAAGCAGACAGATAGTAAGACACAGAGAGAGCATGAGTGGAAAGACTGTAAAAACAGCTGACAGATGAGGGTTTTAAAGCTTCAGGGGGAATAGAGCACAAATCCCCTTTTCTGTTTATACTCCGATAGATTAGGTTCACATATTTTTATGCATATCCTCTCATCTGGGAATTAATAAGTCATTCAGTTGAACAGTTGGCTTTATAGTAATTTATTGCTTTAAGTGTCTAGCACTTGTCTCTAGCATAGACAAGTCATGTCTAGTGTTGATGGTAGCAGTTTGTTCTCACATACTCCTTGTATTTCATATAAATTAAAAGAGGTTTTTTTATTAAAATACATATTTTTTCTTAGTTATGACAGCTCTTGTGTGCTTGGGTGTGATGCACACTGTGACAAATATCCTGTATTTGCTCCGGTGCACACTTGGCATTCATCCGTGCAACCAAATAGGATCAACTGTATCCTGTTTTTCAATTTCACCCTTATTGAATGGGCTCATTATCCCCTCAATTTCCAAACTTATATCCCATATTTGTCATCCAAAACTGAAGGGCCTTTATTTATCTTCTCTTCAAGTACTTTTTTAGCTCTCTGTCTGGGATTTTTCTGGAAACACACTGCACCTCAAATACCTCACAAACCATTGGCAGTCCATACGGGGAATGTTATTGATGGCTAAAAACAACATAAAACTGTAATTACGTATTTGCATGATATTTATCCGATCCAGTTTGTGCAATTAATATGATTTATGTGGAATTAACGTCTTATTTCCTGTTACAGAGACCTATCTGAATACATCAAGATTCATGTTTTATTTTACTCTAATGATGATCAGCTTTTCGGCTTTTGTGTTTTTTTTGTAACCTTTACTCAATGGTCCCTGGATTAGTACACGTGAGTGTACGAGAGTAATCTGCTGAAAAGGTGACCTTGTAAAACCAGTCTTGATGTCTTGTCTCCCTCAGTGCTACTTTTAAAAGAAAAGAGAAAAAATAACAATTTTCCATGCCTGAATTGTTTGCAGTTGATCCAGAATTTGAGCTGACAATATTTCACTTTTTTGTTCTTAAAGAAGATGCAGATTGTTCCTATGAGGTATTGTGTGTTTCAGTCTGACTTGTGCATCCCCTTCTCATTAATTCTCACCATTTCTCATTAATCAAAACCCATCAAAACCACACATCCTTGTTATGAAGCATTAGTCGATAAATTCCTTGCGTGATACACCTACAGGAGTGTTCAACAGGTCATTGTTTCACACCTCATCGCTGCCCAGACAGCCTTAGAAAAATTGTGGTGTTCAAACATGAAGTGTAGAAACCTCATGTAATTATGTCATGCTGAGGTGGTTGAGTTTACATTTATCACCTGTGGAGACTTTTTTATTTTTATGGGTCGTGTGACTCAAGTCAGACCTGTGAGACTCTGCAGAGCGCCACTGAAACTTCTGTCAAGATAATTATGTTGCCACCTATTGGAGTGCTGCTGTAAAAACAGTAGGACCAAGTCACTGTACACAAATGAACATTTGATGATAAAAAAATGAGTCTGTCAGCTGTTATAAGTACAGTATGTAAATACTGTATTGAAGAATGTATTGTTGATTGTGTATGTATTTGAAATCAAATTAATTAATAAATGTTGTGTCTCGCCAAACAAAGAAAAGTGTTGATGTCTCTGCACCAATCTCCTGTGTAATGTTTGCACTTGTATGTGGAAAAGAAATTTGTTTCTAGTACATAATTTCTGTAAAAGGCGATATATCTACTGATTCTGATTGAACTGAGTGGGGTGCTTTTACCTCCAGTGGAGCTAAAGAAGAACAAGTCTGACTGCAGGTTTGGCTGCCTTTTATTAAGCAATTACCCATGCAGGTTTTTTTTTTTCTTTTTCTTGTATCATCATGTATCTCAACATGTCCATGCCGCCGTGGCGTCAGTCAGAAAATACTCCCAATGAAACTGATGTGTTTACACCTGCAGACCGTCACTACATACATTTAATTTTCGGTGTTTTCCAAATTACAGATGTGTGCTACAAATTTTCCTGATGTGAGTGTGTATCTGTCAGTGGGAAATGTCAAATATCTAACCAATGAATTACAAATCACTCTGTTAATGTGAAACTCACTAATGTCATACGATTTATCGTTATAATTTACGAACACTGTTAATGAATAATGAAGCAATGAATGTACAAATATAAGCTTCTCATAATCAGCCTCTCAATCGTTCAACCTCTTTCTAGGCCTAAATGCTTAAAAACCGTTGAAGAACAACACAAGTACCCCAAACCCGAGTGTATCTAAAATACATTTTAATCTTGCTGAAATTTGTTTTCACAATATTGTTTACAATATTAATCTGTCTTCATTCTCTTCATCCTCGCTCGGGTCCTCTATCATCTCAAAACAGAACTGTACAATCATGTTCATGTAAATTGTTCTACATCAAGGCACAAGACAACAGGCGTTGTGGGGGGGCCTTGGTTAGGCTGATCTTTAATGGCGTCCCTCTGGCACACAGGAAAACAGGGTACCCTTGGGAAGAAAATTGTGAAAGATGTAGGAGTATGGATCTCAAATGGGGAGGGGAGGTGGTTTGCATGGAAGAAATGTGCTCTAACGAGGTGAAAGGAGGAGAAAATAAGGTGATAACCACTGCTGCTTTCATTTTATTTTCCAATGATACTCATGTATAAAAAAGAGGAACCATTAGGATGTTTTTTTTTTCTTTTCTTCAGGAGTTCATTTGTTTCATGTACATAAACTCTAAAGTCTTTTTTTCTCATTTTTTTCTCTTATTTGCCAAAAGCAAAAGGTTTCACTAACAGGATGGAAATGGGGACGAGAAGTCCTGTCGCATCTTTTTTTTTCCCCGTAAGAATGTGAGGGAGTGGATAAAGGGCCAGTTCAGTGTTTATTTTCTGCACGATTTTGTTTTTGTTGATTTTTCTTCTCAGGTTTTTTCTGATGTTTTCTTGTCGGGTCTTAACCACTGAAAGAAAGAAAGAAAAAAAGAGAAATAATGTAAATTTATCATCATTCCATTTACAAATCATTAAAAAGTCCAAAATTATTTGAATACATATGTAATAAAAAAAATTATCTTGTCAAAAGTCAAGTTGGGTATATTGCTTATTTTTTTTCATAATCCTGCTTTACTTTTTATATTCAAAATCCTTTTGTCGTTGTTTTTAACTAGCAGATGGAGAAATATAAAGTTTTTCGATGATGGATTATAAAAAACGAAACCAAAGCAAGAACCAAAGAAGAAACTTTATTTACCGTTTCTCTGAAGATTGTGGAGTGCTCACATCTGGACGTTTCTCCTCCGCCTGCCAAAGGCCTTGGCGCCAACATTGGTGGGGACGAAGTTGCTGTTGCCCATTCCTCCCGACCGGCTGAGGAAGTCCGCCAGGCGGTGAGTCACGCAAGTTGCCGTGTTACAGGCTCGCTTCTGTGCTGTAACGCTGCTTCAGGAGAGCAAACAGGGGGTTAATGCCAAGATCTGGTGCGAGATTCATCCATACAGTACTGACACACAGTATGTCTGTACACTGTTCATTTTTATCAACATTAACTTCACAGCAGAGAAAAACATGAAGCTACGACGTACAGGTTAAAAATATGCATCAAGCATGCAAGGTTTAATCGTATATTTTCTGAAGTTTGACGTTTTTCTTACCTTTGAACTCTGATGAGAGCTTCATAGATTATTTGAAAGGCACTATCAGATGTTCTAAAATCCTATTTATGTCCATTTTAATGTCCATATTTGAAAATGAGTTCATGAAGTACCCACTGACTGTAAAGTACCCCTAAGAATGAAAATGAGCTAAGGCTTCCTGGTAGAAAAATACGTTTATTGAACAAGAAACATGGTGTCGCATGAGTGGATCATTTATTAATGGTTCAATTAAGTGATCTCGCTCAACCCTTAAATTTCAAGGGCTTCGATGCCATCAAATGACTCCACGCACAGTACACAGAGATGGATGGCTGAATCGGCTCCTGAATTACATTAATGAAAACTAAGTCCGATTGTCTGAAATCATAGGGGCAAATCATTCTCTGCCAAAAAAAAAAAAAAAGGGGGGGAGAACTGAAAAGTTGGTTGCAGTTAAAGGTCATATTCTTCTCATGTCAATCAGGCAGGTAAAATCAACATGCACTTGTCAATCCAAAAACAATAAGAAAGAAACAGGGAGAGGAAGAGGACAGGACAGGAGGAAAGAGGAAAGAAACAGAAAGGTAGAGGAGGAAGAAGAGATGCAGTAAAGGTAAAAGGGTTTGAGGGAGGATGAGGAGGAGGTTAGATGCTGTCAAACGTCTCGCCGTAGCTTGCATAGCTGTCGGTCTCAGGCGCACTGCGCTTCTTCCCGGGCGTTCCTGCTCCCACGTTCGTGCGAGGGAACGTCTGCAACTTGTGCAGCTCCTGAGACAGTTTGCCCAGCACACAGGTGCTGAGGTTGGAGCAGCGCTTGGTTATGGGCCTGTCCATGCTGTTCGGGAGGGGACACACAAAACACATGCAGAGAACAGGCTCATAGATATGGGAAAACATGCACACAACACTTTTTTTATCTCTATCTTTTATTTTTGGTTCCATTCACGCACCTAATCTCTCTCATGCGTTTATTCCTCATGCCATCGCAGATATAAAAAAAGTTGAAATAAACAGCATCATGCTTTTTTCCCCCCCTCCCCACCATTCAAAGAACCCGTCATCCATCCCCTCATGCGCCAAACTTCCATCTCCGCCCCCACCCCAGTCAATCTTGTCACATCTTTTACACCCACAGAACAAACAGAAACCAGTCGCTTCCCACTGTCATGCAACTCCACTTAATTGACGTCATGCACACTTATTCGTTCCGTTAGGCATCCACTGTTCACATGCCCGGCAGGCAGGCTAGAAATAGTCCGTTCAAACAAAGTCAAAATCAAACTCATCCATGCGGGAGCAGGGTCATGACAGAGAATAGGGATTTTTTGTGTATTAATGTCTATTCTTGGAAATGGTCTGTTTTGCTCTCTTTTTGTCAGCTTAGACGTACATACCTCTACGCCTGATTGAACACAAGTGGGGCGCTAAAAAGACACATCTTGAGTGGTGTTAAAGTGAAACCAGAATATGAAACGGTTCCCTAAGAAGATACACAAAGTCCAGCATGGTAGCCCAGAAAAGAGCTGTCCATTTTACCTCTGAATTTAGGCCAAAAGCTAAGTTTAGTTTCACGTTTAATGTTTCATTCTGTCATCATAGTTAAGTCTTTCATTAGCAGTCTCTGTGCAGGGAGGAAATGTTAATCTGCTTTCTTTTAAAAAAGGGTTAAAATAAAGTCTTCTGTTTTCTTATTTGTGTACCTGTTTCCTTCAGTTGCCTGCTGTTCCAGCTCCTCCGCTGTCATCTGCACAAACTCCTTGACAATGGCGTTGAGTAACCTTCGCGCCTCGTAGTCCGTGAGCGTGACTCGGTCTGACATGGACTCTAAACCCGGTCTGTGGTGATAGGGTGAGCGGGGAGGTTTAGGGGTCAGAGGAGTTGGGGGAGGAAAGGCATTGAGATCAGCATTAAATCCTTGGCTAGAATTATCACCTGCAGTTAAAAGGAGGGGTGGGGATGTGTGTGGGGGTGTTAAGGTGGGGTAGGGTGGTGGTGGAAGACACTGGATGGATAGGAGGGTTCAGAGGGGTTGGCTGGGACGTCACCGACTCTGAGAGGGATGACGTCTGAGTTGGAGGGCCCGTGGCCAACACGGGGAAACAATCTGCGGAAAGTGCCCCATCTGAGAGAGGGGCTGATGTGCAACCAGCTTTAGATTTATTACAAAATCGATAGCTTCATGGGAACAGCGTGGGGAGTGGCTTGAATGGGGCTTCATATAAATATATAGGTCTCATTTATCTCCCTCTGAAGTGAATTACACTTTTCTCACTTTTTCAGTTCTTTTTTCTTTCCATTATTCCCTTTTTAAACACTTACACTGAGAGTAATTTCCTCCAGTTGGATTAGAGGTATAATATGATACACAAACTTTATATACTGATTAGGATATTTAATTTTAATTAATTCTATATATATAAAAGATGTATTAAAGATGTATTAAAGATGTATTTTAAATCTTACACTATCCTGCTGATGTAAAGTGCCAAAACTTAGCACCAACAAATTATGAACCAGAACAAATAATTTTGTTTGTTTGTGTATGTGCACATTATTACATGTTATCTGTACTATCTACAGATATCTTTGAATGCAGCTTTTTCCGTCAGTCCTCTCCCATTTCTTAATATTTTTCTAAAAATATTGTGATCATAAAACTCTAACTGATTCCCAGGAGAAAAATTTGTACTACGTTTCTTTTTTTCTTGTTTTTTTTTCTGAGGCGTTGTTCTTGCATCGACCCTCCATTCCCTCCCACTGGATGCTTGTGACTCTAACAACTGGGAATTTACGTCTGCTCTACTTTTGCACATTTTCAAGTTGCTGGAAAATGCATCATGTCAGGTGAGAGTTTGAAGTGTAAAATGTGAATGTTGCTGCGTCTCACCTGGCAGGGGCGGCTTGTGAGCAGTACATCTGGCAAATAACCAGGGCGTAGGCAACGAGGAAAGCAGAGATCTTCAACATAACCATGGTCCCCTACACAGCAAGAAAGACACCACCATCAGCACCTTGTGCACAAGACTGCAGCATTTCACACTCACACACTGCTAAAATAAGTTCTCAAATCATTAAAAAATTAATCTACAAAACAAAAACCAACATACATCTATAAAATACACTTGCTAGTGTCTGATCCTCTTGCGCTGCTGAGAAGAAGTTGCAACAAGAAAAAAGGGCTTTCTGTCACTTCCCAGAGAGGTGAGCTCAGCTCTGCCCACATCTCAGCGTGCCACTGTTTAGCTCTGGTCTCCTGCTGAACATCCTTGATTTTACTTCCACACAACACCCCTTCAAAACTGAGCCACATAATAATCCCCCCACTCTTCTTCTGCAAAACGCACTGTTCCTCCAAAACATCCAACCAAGAGCACAGGACAGGTAGTTCTCTCGTGCAGGTCCCGGAGCTTGTGTGTGTGTGTGTGTGTGTGTGTGTGTGTGTGTGTGTGTGTGTGTGTGTGTGTGTGTGTGTGTTTGAGGGTAGGTGGGGGTCCTAGATTGTGCAATACATGTAGCTGTTGCTAGTGCTGGAAGAGGAAGGGTGAAAAGGGAAGGGATGGGGGGGGGGGGGACTCCAAGCTTGCCAACTCCCTAAGGGACCAGTGCATTAGTGTAATGAGCTGCAAGCACTCTCTCTCTCTCTCTCTCTCTCTCTCTCTCTCTCTCTCTCTCTCTCTCTCTCTCTCTCTCTCACTCTCACACAGACACACACACGCACACTCTGAAACCTGTTTCCTCTTCTTTACTTTTCATTCTTCACTTCAGTTTCTTCGCATTTTTGAGTCCCTGTCTTTTTTTTCCTATTTCTTTCCTTTTCTTCCTCTCTCTCTATTTCTATCTCGGTCTTTGGACTTCAAATAGCTGACTGGACCCTTGTATAATGGGTGGTGGTGGTGGTGGTGGTGATGCTGGTGACCCCAGTGGCCACACTCAATCCCATCACCAACACTATCACATCACTGCAGTCTAACACAGTGACTCTGTGTCCATATCCCCTCTAAACCAACACATGCACACAAACAGCTTATCAGGTACATTTGTAGTCAAACAGCCATTCCAACACATCGGCCAACAATAAAAGTCAACACTTACCTTCAGTGATAATCACCCAGCAAAAAAATAAATAAATATAGATCTCTATGTATCTCTATGCAAAACAAAATAAGTTGACTTTCTCTCAACTTGCAGGACAACTCTTGATTCTGTTGCATGCAGCGTCAACGCACCAGCCTATATATCCCACCACTTGGATTTGTGCATTGACTGTGTAGGTGTTTAATTATCTGCCGGCAGCCAATCACGTCGCTCTGATGCTATGGCAAGCCAATGGGACGACTCCTTTCAGTCCTGGCTCACTAATAAGGGATATGGCTTTGCGCTGACGTCATTCCTCAGTCACTAAGTGCTCCATTCACAAAATCCACCAGTCATTTGGACCATTTGCTATCCCCAATTTGCATTGATGTCATTAATTAAATAGGAGGCAAAGCAAAACTGGTGGCCGTGGAGAAGCATCACCAGCAATAAATATTTTAAGAACCTTCCAAAAATGTTACATTGCATGCTATATCTCAAATGCCAAATCGATAATGGCCCCCCCACCCCAACACCACTACCACCCTCCTAGCTAAGCACTTGCAGGCGGGGCCATCTGCTGGGGAGGGATGTATACTACACAGTGACGCACTTCTGGGCTCTTCATTCATAACGCTGTTTGGATAGCACCAACTCCAGCACTACGCCCACTGTGCTTCAGCTCAGCATAGACCATCTAACACACAATCAGCTTATGTAATCAGTTTGTTAATGATTTGATTTTGGCCAATATGATGTGATTCACCACAAATAATGAACTCATGGAACATATCATGTACTAAGCCACATGGGTCAACTCTGCTCAGAGTATCTAAAAAACTACTTTCAAAGTACTTTTACAAAGTAATTTTTATCCTCTACAACATAAACTGTGTATTTCTTATCAGTGTGATTAACCTGAAACCTATTTCTCCTCTCAGCTACTGTACGTACTCTCTGTCTGCTTTAAAACCTCAGCTAAGTATGACAGCATCCCTCCCCACAACAGAGAAACATCAAACCATATTGAGTTAATAAAGTGATACCACAGTCAGTCCAGTAATGATCACTGCCGCCTGGGCCTCCTCCCACACACTGAGTAAACGAGTTGTTCTCAGCAAAGACCAATCGATGACGGCCTCCGACAAGAGCCGTTTCTCAAAAGCAATTACACAACTGTTTGTCGTGCACCATCATCTCAATTCCCTTCCTTTTCATTAGTGTGCAGGACAGCATGTGTGTGTACAGCATGTGTGTGTACAGTTTATGTGTGCGCACACTAATGAGCGTGTGTGTATATCTGTGACTCAAAGTCCCTGCACTGTGGACAAAATGAATGGATGTACAGTAGGTGTGTGTGCTTTCCTATGTGTGTAAATCTGTGTGTATGTTCTGGATTATATGTCAGAGTGAAAGAAGGGGAGGGGTTGCCTCTCCTTGTCTGCGTCATAGAGGAACCCCATTAGACAGGATGAGCCTTTTAGTGCTATTGAGCCACAAGGCTCACCCATGTCAGACGCTAAATCACTGCTGAATAGACAGCTGCTGGGTCTCAAGCTGCATCTGCGAATCTACTTTCTATCACTTTCCTACCTGCACACCTACTGTCCTGCCTTATTTATTACACAGTGCTGGATAGATTTAAACATACCAGGAAACCATTAACCTGTTATAGAAATTATGACTTTCGCTTAAGTTCTCATATCGGCTGCAGGTCAAAAACCTTTCTTCCAAAACTTTGAGCCATGTTTTTTGAAATGTGCAGGACATCACCTGGACAACCAGTGGGTCACTGACTAAGAACAGGTTGCTTAACTAGAGACTATCTCTCAGTAAACCTGCTGCCGATACATTAGTTTGTCCTTTAGTTCTTCAAGCTCTAGTTGAGAGTAAAAAATAAGTTTAAAGTTATATCTGTAAAGCCAGCATTGTCTAATGTTTTTACAAATAATAAGTGATCAGAATCATTTAAAACATCCTATAATTACATAAAAGGTGTACACATAGTGGCTTCAACCAATCATATTACAGTGCCTCTATCTGAGTTATTTCTTTTGACAATGTGACACTTAACTAAGAGCCTGTCCTCACCCAATACGATGTCATTTCAAAAAAAATCTCCGTAAACACGCCGCCATTTCCAGAAATATCTGTGTCCACACGGATTCACTGAAACGACCTAAAACGCTGTAGTACATATGCCAGGCCTGTATGTGGTGCTTGGACGCCGCCACACCAATACACTAAAACCGGAAGAGAAGCCATGGAGCATGCGCTGTTTACAAACAAGTAGTAGTAGTCTACCATTGTTGTTGTTGTTATGGCGTGCCTAGCAGCGGCGCCTGAGGTTAAAGGCTAGAGAGGCGGGGCTAATACGTCATTGTTTCGGAAAAAATCAGTTTTCGTCGTCCAGACGACTCCGCGCAATCTGGCATTTTCCGGATTTCCCACTCTGGGACCCGTTTAAAAAAAATACCGTTTTCACACCCCGAAAACGCCGTATCCGTCTGGACGCGAGGCCGATACGATTCGAAAAAAACGTATTTGTGTGGACAGGCCCTAAAGTAGCATTGTAGCATTTTAAGACACTCATAGCCATGGGTTTCAACACAACGTATCTGTGTTTTCAAGTCAGTTGTATTTCTATTGCCCAAACTCACAATTTCTTCCCAATAAAACCCCTAAACTAAAACTGCATTCCCAAGCAAGTCTGCATACACTCAGTTGCCAATTTATTAGGTACTGTAAACTATTGCATCTTAATACAACAGCCTCTCATTAAATCCATGAAATTTATAATGTTCAGTTTTTGTTGAAAATATATAGAGTTGTTGAGAGATTCAACTTTATGATCATTTGATTTAAGATTGAATTGTGTTGTACTGACAGTGGATTCTGTTATTTTCTCAGATGCAATTCATATCTACAGCACAACAAAGGACACCTTCCTAAAAAATGTGCCTCTAAGAAACTGAGCATTATAACCTTCATAAAGGTGTGATTGCAGTAGTGTTGTGTTACAATAGTTAAAGCGAGGTGTACCTAATAAACTGGCAACTGCTTAATGCTGCAGCTTGCATGAAACTACTACTCTACATATTCTCTCATCCTGATGATTTATTCATATACCAACTTACCTAAATACAAACCTTACTACCTAGACACCCAGCCATTACATATTGAATCTATTTTTTATAATAGAGGAGCTTGTGTGTCCAGAGTGTGTAAAAGCAGAGAGAGAAAACAAAGTGTTATACAGTATACATGTGTGTAGTTCTTCTAAGAGCTCTGTCTTAAGTTCTAGTGAAGGTCTATATGATTGTCTACTATATGTGCTGAGAGTGTTTAAACAACCCTGTGGCCTTTCAAAACTGATTGGACAAACTGTGTGTGGTGTGGATGTGTTACCGTTAAAAAGCTGACTTGTTATATGTAATGTGTGAGCACACACACACACATCTGTGTGTTGGAGCTAATCCATGTGAATATTGTACAAAGCCAGACAAATGTATTTATACCATACATGCATGCTTACATATACGTGTTCATATTTTCAGCGTAGGTGTTCCTTTTCCGTCATCTGCATCACACTTCACCCTAGGGAGCTGCACAGGCCATCTCTGAAGTTTTCCCTTAGTTCCTAAGAAAACTTTCTGGAGCTTTAAGTCAATACGGTAACCTTTGAAGCCGGGCATCCCCCAGCTGAGATCAACACACTCACTCTAGTGTAAGTTATTACTGGGGACACAATGACTGCTGCTGCTGTTGTGGTGTTATTGGCTGGGAACAAACATTATGCTATATGTCATCTTAATGGCTCAGCTCTTTTGGGCCAACCAAGAACCCTGAGTGTAAATGTAGCAAAGAGAAAGTACACCTGTATATATGACACTAATACACATCAATGGTATTATTGACACCACTGGACATGTGCTATATGTCAGCGTAATGACTGAGCTCATTAAAGAGGTATGTATAGGTATGTTTCATGTCATGCACACTAATAATAGCTGCATGACTTCAGATGCTGTTCTATATGTCAGCGGCTTAGATTGATAGAAAATAAAAATCTCATCTGGGTAAATGTGACAAAATTCAATACACACATACAGGCAGCGGTGGAGGAAGTACTCAGATTTTTTTATTTAAGTATAAGTAATAATGATCTGTTAGAAGTAAAAGTAAATTAGTAAGTACATTTTACATAAGTAAAAGCACAAATACCCATTTTATGGAAAGGTCTATATTTCAGAATCATACATATTATATTATTAGGTTATAATTATTGTTGCATTAATGTGTGTGTGAGAAGTTATCAAATAAATGCAGTGGAGTAAAAAGTACAATATTTCCCTCTGAGTTTCAGTGGAGTAGAAATATAAAGTAACAGAATAA